TCTCTGCGTGCTCACACCGCGCTTATGGGGGCCGGAGGAGGGAAACTCGGGGTTCTCTGCGCGCTCACACCGCGCTTATGGGGGGCTGGAGGGAGAGACTCGGGGTTCTCTGCGCGCTCACATCGCGCTTATGGGGGCCGGAGGGAGAGACTCGGGGTTCTCTGCGTGCTCACACCGTGTTTATGGGGGGCCGGAGGGAGAGACTCTGGGTTCTCTGCGTGCTCACACCGCGCTTATGGGGGCCGGAGGAGGGAAACTCGGGGTTCTCTGCGCGCTCACACCGCGCTTATGGGGGGCTGGAGGGAGAGACTCGGGGTTCTCTGCGCGCTCACATCGCGCTTATGGGGGCCGGAGGGAGAGACTCGGGGTTCTCTGCGTGCTCACACCGTGTTTATGGGGGGCCGGAGGGAGAGACTCTGGGTTCTCTGCGTGCTCACACCGCGCTTATGGGGGCCGGAGGAGGGAAACTCGGGGTTCTCTGCGCGCTCACACCGCGCTTATGGGGGGCTGGAGGGAGAGACTCGGGGTTCTCTGCGCGCTCACATCGCGCTTATGGGGGCCGGAGGGAGAGACTCGGGGTTCTCTGCGTGCTCACACCGTGTTTATGGGGGGCCGGAGGGAGAGACTCTGGGTTCTCTGCGTGCTCACACCGCGCTTATGGGGGCCGGAGGAGGGAAACTCGGGGTTCTCTGCGCGCTCACACCGCGCTTATGGGGGGCTGGAGGGAGAGACTCGGGGTTCTCTGCGCGCTCACATCGCGCTTATGGGGGCCGGAGGGAGAGACTCGGGGTTCTCTGCGTGCTCACACCGTGTTTATGGGGGGCCGGAGGGAGAGACTCTGGGTTCTCTGCGTGCTCACACCGCGCTTATGGGGGCCGGAGGAGGGAAACTCGGGGTTCTCTGCGCGCTCACACCGCGCTTATGGGGGGCTGGAGGGAGAGACTCGGGGTTCTCTGCGCGCTCACATCGCGCTTATGGGGGCCGGAGGGAGAGACTCGGGGTTCTCTGCGTGCTCACACCGTGTTTATGGGGGGCCGGAGGGAGAGACTCTGGGTTCTCTGCGTGCTCACACCGCGCTTATGGGGGCCGGAGGAGGGAAACTCGGGGTTCTCTGCGCGCTCACACCGCGCTTATGGGGGGCTGGAGGGAGAGACTCGGGGTTCTCTGCGCGCTCACATCGCGCTTATGGGGGCCGGAGGGAGAGACTCGGGGTTCTCTGCGTGCTCACACCGTGTTTATGGGGGGCCGGAGGGAGAGACTCTGGGTTCTCTGCGTGCTCACACCGCGCTTATGGGGGCCGGAGGAGGGAAACTCGGGGTTCTCTGCGCGCTCACACCGCGCTTATGGGGGGCTGGAGGGAGAGACTCGGGGTTCTCTGCGCGCTCACATCGCGCTTATGGGGGCCGGAGGGAGAGACTCGGGGTTCTCTGCGTGCTCACACCGTGTTTATGGGGGGCCGGAGGGAGAGACTCTGGGTTCTCTGCGTGCTCACACCGCGCTTATGGGGGCCGGAGGAGGGAAACTCGGGGTTCTCTGCGCGCTCACACCGCGCTTATGGGGGGCTGGAGGGAGAGACTCGGGGTTCTCTGCGCGCTCACATCGCGCTTATGGGGGCCGGAGGGAGAGACTCGGGGTTCTCTGCGTGCTCACACCGTGTTTATGGGGGGCCGGAGGGAGAGACTCTGGGTTCTCTGCGTGCTCACACCGCGCTTATGGGGGCCGGAGGAGGGAAACTCGGGGTTCTCTGCGCGCTCACACCGCGCTTATGGGGGGCTGGAGGGAGAGACTCGGGGTTCTCTGCGCGCTCACATCGCGCTTATGGGGGCCGGAGGGAGAGACTCGGGGTTCTCTGCGTGCTCACACCGTGTTTATGGGGGGCCGGAGGGAGAGACTCTGGGTTCTCTGCGTGCTCACACCGCGCTTATGGGGGCCGGAGGAGGGAAACTCGGGGTTCTCTGCGCGCTCACACCGCGCTTATGGGGGGCTGGAGGGAGAGACTCGGGGTTCTCTGCGCGCTCACATCGCGCTTATGGGGGCCGGAGGGAGAGACTCGGGGTTCTCTGCGTGCTCACACCGTGTTTATGGGGGGCCGGAGGGAGAGACTCTGGGTTCTCTGCGTGCTCACACCGCGCTTATGGGGGCCGGAGGAGGGAAACTCGGGGTTCTCTGCGCGCTCACACCGCGCTTATGGGGGGCTGGAGGGAGAGACTCGGGGTTCTCTGCGCGCTCACATCGCGCTTATGGGGGCCGGAGGGAGAGACTCGGGGTTCTCTGCGTGCTCACACCGTGTTTATGGGGGGCCGGAGGGAGAGACTCTGGGTTCTCTGCGTGCTCACACCGCGCTTATGGGGGCCGGAGGAGGGAAACTCGGGGTTCTCTGCGCGCTCACACCGCGCTTATGGGGGGCTGGAGGGAGAGACTCGGGGTTCTCTGCGCGCTCACATCGCGCTTATGGGGGCCGGAGGGAGAGACTCGGGGTTCTCTGCGTGCTCACACCGTGTTTATGGGGGGCCGGAGGGAGAGACTCTGGGTTCTCTGCGTGCTCACACCGCGCTTATGGGGGCCGGAGGAGGGAAACTCGGGGTTCTCTGCGCGCTCACACCGCGCTTATGGGGGGCTGGAGGGAGAGACTCGGGGTTCTCTGCGCGCTCACATCGCGCTTATGGGGGCCGGAGGGAGAGACTCGGGGTTCTCTGCGTGCTCACACCGTGTTTATGGGGGGCCGGAGGGAGAGACTCTGGGTTCTCTGCGTGCTCACACCGCGCTTATGGGGGCCGGAGGAGGGAAACTCGGGGTTCTCTGCGCGCTCACACCGCGCTTATGGGGGGCTGGAGGGAGAGACTCGGGGTTCTCTGCGCGCTCACATCGCGCTTATGGGGGCCGGAGGGAGAGACTCGGGGTTCTCTGCGTGCTCACACCGTGTTTATGGGGGGCCGGAGGGAGAGACTCTGGGTTCTCTGCGTGCTCACACCGCGCTTATGGGGGCCGGAGGAGGGAAACTCGGGGTTCTCTGCGCGCTCACACCGCGCTTATGGGGGGCTGGAGGGAGAGACTCGGGGTTCTCTGCGCGCTCACATCGCGCTTATGGGGGCCGGAGGGAGAGACTCGGGGTTCTCTGCGTGCTCACACCGTGTTTATGGGGGGCCGGAGGGAGAGACTCTGGGTTCTCTGCGTGCTCACACCGCGCTTATGGGGGCCGGAGGAGGGAAACTCGGGGTTCTCTGCGCGCTCACACCGCGCTTATGGGGGGCTGGAGGGAGAGACTCGGGGTTCTCTGCGCGCTCACATCGCGCTTATGGGGGCCGGAGGGAGAGACTCGGGGTTCTCTGCGTGCTCACACCGTGTTTATGGGGGGCCGGAGGGAGAGACTCTGGGTTCTCTGCGTGCTCACACCGCGCTTATGGGGGCCGGAGGAGGGAAACTCGGGGTTCTCTGCGCGCTCACACCGCGCTTATGGGGGGCTGGAGGGAGAGACTCGGGGTTCTCTGCGCGCTCACATCGCGCTTATGGGGGCCGGAGGGAGAGACTCGGGGTTCTCTGCGTGCTCACACCGTGTTTATGGGGGGCCGGAGGGAGAGACTCTGGGTTCTCTGCGTGCTCACACCGCGCTTATGGGGGCCGGAGGAGGGAAACTCGGGGTTCTCTGCGCGCTCACACCGCGCTTATGGGGGGCTGGAGGGAGAAACTCGGGGTTCTCTGCGCGCTCACACCGCGCTTATGGGGGGCTGGAGGGAGAAACTCGGGGTTCTCTGCGCGCTCACACCGCGCTTATGGGGGGCTGGAGGGAGAAACTCGGGGTTCTCTGCGCGCTCACACCGCGCTTATGGGGACCGGAGGAGGGAAACTCTGGGTTCTCTGCGCGCTCACACCGCGTTTATGGGGGCCGGAGGGAGAGACTCGGGGTTCTCTGCGTGCTCACACCGTGTTTATGGGGGGCCGGAGGGAGAGACTCTGGGTTCTCTGCCTGCGGGGCAGCCCTCCACCCACTTAGCCCAGGCCCCAGCATCCACACGGCAGCTCACAACCATCTGTAACCCTGGTTTGAGCGGGTCTGACGCACTTTTCTCGACTGTTTCACACAGAGTGAAAAACAATATTTGAAAAAAACAAAAAACAGTTTTGCCCCGGCGTAGTGACAGAGAGAAGCCTTTAACGACAGCACTGGGGAGGCACAGGCAGGTGATCTCTGTAAGTTCGAAGCTAGCCTGATCTACATTAGCGAGTTCCAGGACAGTCAGGGCTTTGTAGAGAAGCCTTGTCTTAAGAAACCAAAATAAAGAAAAGGTAAAAATACTAATCTGGTAGCACATACCTTTCATCCCATCACTCTTGGGCCCGAGGCCAGTCAGTCTCTTGAGTTCAAGACCAGCCTGGCCTATTTGAAAGTTTGAAGTCACTCAGGGCTTCATTGTGAGACCCTGTCCCAAGAAACTTAGGTTGGCTGGGAAGTGGTGGTCCACACCTTTAATCCCAGCACTCAGAGGGCTGAGGCAGGCGGATCTCTGTGAGTTCAAGACCAACCTGTTCTACAGAGGGAGTTCTAGGACATCAGGGCTACACAGAGAAACCCTGTCTCTGAACAACAAAAGACAAAAAGAAGGAGACGAAGAGGGAAGAGACAGACCAGACCCCAGTTGAGAAAGAGGCCTGCATAGTTTTAATTTTTGCGTTGGGTGGACCCCAGGGCCTGGTCTCTCAGGCCTGCCCCTCAACCCGATGCTGGATTACACTCTACTCTTCCCTCATCACGCCTAAGACCAAACAGGAAGAGTGGGTGGGGGCACTGAGAGGTGGAAGTTGCCAGGGGATCTACCCTAGCCTGCCCAGTGAGGCTGGGGTGGGGTGGGGCCTGGTTGGGGACCAGACTGTGGCTTGGCCAGTACTGCTGGGTCACTTAAGTGCTCCTCCTCATGCTATCCCCGAGCAGCCCAGGCTGTTCAGGGATAGGTCTGGCACTGTAGTCCCGGAGTTCATGCTGAGTGTTCATTTCCTCTCTAAAGACAGGTGATTCTTTGTCTCTGCAGCTGTGTCATGACCGTGGCTACCTGGTGACCCAGGATGAGCTGGACCAGACACTTGAGGAGTTCAAGGCTCAGTTTGGGGACAAACCCAGTGAAGGAAGACCCAGGCGCACAGACCTGACAGTGCTGGTGGCCCACAACGATGATCCCACAGACCAGATGTTTGTGTTCTTCCCAGGTGAGGCCCCTTGGACCAGTAACAGAGGCCTGATTCTGGGGTCCCATAATTCTGGTGGCATTCCCCAGTCCCTGGCTCAGGTGCCAGTTAAGGTAACATGTCACAGCCCTCCCTCTGTGGTCTTCCTGCTCTCTGTCCAGCCAGTGAGGGTGGGTACCACCCAGGCCCAGCCTTGCCTGCAGGACTACTGTAGTCGCCAGCCTGCTTTTGTCCCTGCCTCCCCTGGAAACCTTCCCTTGTTTGGTTGGTGTCCATTCTCTGCCCCTTGAGTCCCAGCACCAGCTCTTGGGCCCTCTGGCTCCCATCTGCTGTGTTGTGTAGTTTCTGCCTTACAGCCCAGGCACTTCTGAAAGTGGGAGGGGTGCTATTAAAGAGCCTGAGCCCTTCTTGTGCAGCTGCCTCCTGGTCTCCCCAGACAGTCTGTTGCCTTCAATACCTTTGAGGTCCTGGGGCCTGTGAGAATTAGGGGTGCAGGGATAGGCGTGGCATCATATGCCCATAACCCCAGAACCTGGCAGACACAGACGAGGCAGGTGGTCAAGAACAGCCTGGTCTATACAGTGAGTGCTAGGACAGCTATGTAGAGCAGTGGTTCTCAACCTTCCTAATGCTGTGACCCTTTATAAAAACAGTTCCTCACGTTGTGGTGACCCCCAACCCTAACATTCCTATCTGTAATTTTGCTGTTTGGAGTCATAATGTAAATACTCATGTTTTCCTATGGTCTCAAAGGGTCAGGACCAATGGGTTGAGAACACTGATGCAAGAAGTCCCTGTCTCAAAAAGAAAAAATATACTGGGAGTGTTGAGTCTGAGATCCAGCAGTTTGCAAATCACTGGGCCTGTTCCTGTACTTTTTGGGTCCTGATCTCCAGTGAAGCCCAGTCTGCCTGAGGAGCCTAGGCTAGCCCCATGTGGACACAGGGTCCATCTCCTTTCCTTGAGGTTGTCTGAGCTGACAATGCCATATGTCCTAAACCTCAGAGCAGCTGAGGACCTCCACCCCTGTTCCATGAGGAGCCCAAAAGATCTGGGTACCCTGTGGTTTCCTTCCTGCCTAGCCCCATTCGTGGCTACTGGCCATTGTGGTCTTCTCTGGCAAATAGAGAAACCCAAGACCATAGGCAAGGCAGTGATGGCCTTGAGCGGTGGCTGTGAGAGTCATGCTGTGTGTCCACAGAGGAGCCCAAGGTGGGTATCAAGACCATCAAGGTGTACTGCCAGCGCATGCAGGAGGAGAACATCACTCGGGCGCTGATCGTGGTGCAGCAGGGCATGACGCCCTCTGCCAAGCAGTCCCTGGTGGACATGGCCCCTAAGTATGTGCTGGAGCAGTTCCTACAGCAAGAGCTGCTCATTAACATCACGGAACACGAGGTGGGCATCTGTTGTGGGGAGCTCTGGGCAGCACGGTGGGGTGGACAGGACCTGGGGGCCTGTGCCAGCCTCAGGCTCTGCCATCGTGTGCTGGGGTGGGGTGGTAACCCAGCTTTGGTGCTGTGGCTCCGAGCATCCAAATTGGTGGTGTTCGTAGCATGGTCCTGACCTCTGTCCCCACGACAATGACAATATCCTTCAGCCAGTTGGGGTCTGTTGAGGTCCCTGATGGCTTCATGACTGTTGGTGGGTCTCTGTCTCCACAGCTGGTCCCTGAGCATGTGGTCATGACCAAGGAGGAGGTGACAGAGCTGCTGGCTAGATAGTATCCTTTATCCTGCCTTCCCCACCCCACTTTGAACAGCCCAGTGCCGCACTGTGAACCCACCACCCCACCCCCAGTGCCGCACTGTGAACCCACCACCCACTTCCTTGACTGTGACCCAGCAAGCTTCGTGAGAGCCAGCTGCCTAGGATCCAGGCAGGGGACCCAGTGGCACGCTACTTTGGAATCAAACGAGGACAGGTGAGAAGCCATGGCTGTTCCCCTCCTCAGCTCTCAGGAATTCTTGATTCCTAAAGTACCCTGGTTCATCTGTCTTGCCCTCCTGAGGCCAGGGCTGCTATGGCTAGAGGACAGTGGGCCTTCTCCCCTGGTGCCTGCAGCCCTGCCAACCCCCACTCTGCCTGCCCCCACAGGTCGTGAAGATCATCCGGCCCAGTGAGACAGCTGGCCGCTACATCACCTACCGCCTAGTGCAGTAGCCCAGCCTCAGGTGAGCCTCTCACCATAGTGAGGGCTCAGCACTGTTCCTGGATGAGCCCCACCTGCCACCAGACTCTGCTGCCTGTTCTTGACCCAGCTAGCACACTGCCCTGCCAGGGTCCCAGCACAGGGCACCATCCTGTTCTGAAAAGTAGGACTGTGTCTCAGGGCAGCCTGGACCACATCTACACCTGCTTTTGTGGGTGAGACACAGCCTAGGCATTTGAGAGGACCCATTTGGTGGAAGGAAAGACTGACTCTTCCTGCAAGCTGTCCTCTGACCTCCATGCGCACACCATGGCAACTGTGCATGTACCCACAAAAATTAAAATCTAATGGGAGTGCAGACTTTAATACCAACACCCAGGAGGCAGAGGCAGGCGGATCTCAGAATTCCAGGCCAACCTGGCCTACATCCTGAGATATTATCTCAAAAAACAAACTGTACTATTGCCAGGCTAAATCCTAGCCCTCTGGAGACTGAGGCAGGAGGATTTTAACTTCAAGGCGAGTTTGTGGACTCTTTAGCAAGAACTGGTTCAACACCAGCATTCTGGCATGAGACCCTGGTCTAAGAAACAATAAAACGGAACCCCACACAGCATGGACCATGCTCATAATCCTCCTCCGAGCCAGCTGATCTGTACCTCCCAACTCTACTGGCACCCTCCTCCCACCCAGCACCCTAATGGACAGTTGGCCCTTGACTGCTGCTCCCATGGCCGTAAGGGTATGGGCCATAACCTGTTTGCCTTACAGGGTTTCTCTGTAGCTCTTGAGCCTGTCCTGGAACTAACTCGCTCTGTAGACCATCCCTGTCTCAGAAAAAACAAACAAACAAACATATTTTGAGGAGATAAGTTGTTTTGGGAAACTGGTCAATTTGTGCTGGGCTATGCGGTATGGTCCTGGAGGCCTTGGCTTTGGGTGGGTGTCATGCATTCCCTTGTAGCCACAAATCACTCTGAATGGAGAGAATCCTGCCTGCCCTTCCCTGCTCAGACTTGATTGTGAAAGGCAGGCCTTGCTGTAGTGGGGCTGGGAAAGGTCATGCCGGACAAATCGCCATGCCCCTGAGCCACACCCAGCCCTTGAACAGGGCTCCAACTCACCAGGTAACTGGTGACCCTGAAGTCCATGCTGTCCTGCCCTCCCCCCTCCCCCCAATGCTGGGGTGACAAAGCCCCACTCCTGGAAGAGCCCCTGCTTCAGCCTTGCTTGTGCTCTGTTCCTGGTACTGGGCCCTGCCTGCTAGCAGCCCCTTTGAACCCCCAGCCCCCATCCTTTCTTAACCAATTATGTTAATAAGTTCTCACAACCAATGTTTCTTAATTCCGGGAATTGTCCCACACTGTGGCCTTTCTCATGTCACAGCATGTCCTTGGGGTTCTGCCACACTGTTGCTAGCATTGGAACCTTGGTCCAGTTTGCACACACTGTGCCTGCCACTGTACCAACTAGTTGCTGTATCTGGCTAACTCCAGAAGCAGAATTCTTGGTTAGTGTGTTGAGTGCTTTTGGTGTTTGATGGGGTCTTGTATATGCGGCCCAGGCTGCCCTGAGACTTAAGTACCCCTGCCTTTGCCTCCTGTGTGCTGGGGTGACTGGTTTGAACCACCACAAGTGGGTTGAGACATTTTGTGAAGACCAAGGACACCTGTATGTGGAGGTCAAGAGGGTAACCTGTAATAACCTGTAACTCAGTCTAGCTGGCCAGAGGGCTTGAGTATCCTGTCTCCACCACCGATCCCATCCATAGGAGGCTGGAATTGGACGCTCAGTATTTATCCAGGTTCCACATGTGTTCTGGTGATGACAGCCAAAGCACTTTCTCACTCACCATGCTGGCTGGGAACTCACAGAGGTCTACCTGCCTCTGTCTCCTCTCCACATCCCACCATGAATGCAGGTGCCAGGGGCGGCCAGAGGCTCATATCCCCTGAAACTAGAATCAGGTGGTTGTGAACCACCATGGGGTGCTGCGAACTGAACTGGGGTCTTCTTGAACTGCCAGTGCTTTTAGCCTCTGGGTCATCTCGCACACCTCGGTGATTTCAGTGAGGGCTTCCATCCCTCTGGGGCCCTATGTCCTGTGTGACCAGGTGGAAACTACAGGACAGCCCTGAGATCCTATGGTACTGTGGGGGTCACTGAGGTTTCTTTTTGGTTTGTTTTTTTAAAGATTTATTCATTATGTGTACAGTGTTCTGTCTATAGGCCTGCATGCCAGAAGAGGGCACCAGATTTCATTACAGGTGGTTGTGAGCCACCATGTGGTTGAATTGAACTCAGGACCTCTGGGAAGAGCAGCCAGTGCTCTCAACCTCTGAGCCATCACTCCAGCCCGTTTGTTTTTTGAGACAGGGTTTATGACTATAAACAGTCTATGACTGTGGAGGCTGTCCTGGAACTCGCTTGTGGAGAGCGGGCTGGTCTTGAACTCACAGAGATCCGCCTGCCTCTGCCTCCCGAGCGCTGGGATTAAAGGCATGCGCCACCACCGCCCGGCTAAGCCTTAGGTTTCTGAAGCTGCACACACACAGGCTTCCCCTCCTGTCAGGAGGAGTGTGTCTCTAGAGCAGCAGGTCTCAACCCGTGGGTTATGACCCTTCCACAGGGCTTGAATATCAGATATTTACATTATGGTTAATAACAGCAAGAAAACTACAGGTATGAAGTAGTGGTGAAATAATAGTATGCTTGGAGGTCACCATAGCATGAGGAAGTGTATTAAAGGGTCACAACATTAGGAAAGTTGAGGGACACATAGACTGGCATGGGAGTCTCACTTCCAGAGCTGCCCCCCTGGGGGGTGGGGCTTCCAATCTCTGTAGACTAGAGTTGGGAAGGTGTGGAGTTAGTGTCTCTAGTGGGACAGAGCTTTAGTGTGGGTAGATAGGAAATTCCGGAGATGTATGGTGGAGACAATTGCACAGCCATGAAAAAAACCAAGCATGTCAGGTGACAGGGAAAACTCTCACATAGCTCTCTGGTCACTATAGGTCAAGTTCACCTCTGTGAGGTCACAGTTAAGGGCTCACAAACCCCATTGTGTCATTCAGTGGGTTGGTGGTCAGCATTCCTAGCTGTCCCAACATGGTGGCCTTTTTGTGACCTGTACTGTTTGACTTGTGAAGTAGGCTCCTGAGCCACTTGGTAAAGTTCTCATGACTTCTTATGTCAATCAGGATCAGTGTGTGGCTTGTCTCAGGCGGAGGGCTCCTTTCACCCTAATGAGGAGGGGTATGGGAGCTTGTGAGCAAACTAATGGCAGCACTGGACTAATGGCAGCACCCAGGACAGCCAGGGTTACGTAGTGAGACCCTGCCTAAAAACAACAAAAAACTACTTCAAAGGAAACCAAATTGTAGGTACATCATGATCAGTCGTGATCAACAAATACCTTACTCTGTTAACTCAGCACTGGCCTGTGTTAGTTCCTCTCTCTCTCTTGAACTGAATCCAGACTCCTTTGGCCAAGAGCCAAGGCATTTTGTTTACCAAGAACTGGGCAGCTCCTGAGGTGCTGCCCCTGCCCTCAGGCATTTTATCTGTGCCTGTGGTTTGCTGCAGGCCATGGCTGACCCCTCACCAGGAAGCCGGCCCACCCCCTCACCCCCACAGGAAGGAAGGCCCCTCCCCTCTTGCTGGTATCAAGGTGGCAGGAATTCCGTAGACTCCCCAGGCTTGGAATGATGAGCTGGCCTCTGCTCCCCAGTGTCACTATGTTACTGAAGAAGATGCTGAACTCCTGATCCTCCTGTCTCCACTATGCTGGGGTGACAGGTGTGTACCACCCCTAGTGTATGAGAAGCAGGGCATGAATCCGTGTCCCAGGGCCGCCATCATGTGAGGATCAGGAGAGGAGTGGGCACCACCTGCCTCTCCCCAGGCTGAGGCTCTAAAGCAGAGGAATCCTTTCCCAGAACTGCAGAAATATATTTAAAATGTAGTTTGCAACAAAAAACAAACACCGATGTGGTGGCCCACACCTTGGTCTCAGTACTTGGGAGGCAGGTGGATCTCTGTAATTTCGAGGCCATCCTGGTCTACAGAGTGAGTTTCAGGGCAGCTAGGGCTACACAGGGAAGCCCTGTCTCAAAAAACAAAAAGACAGACATACCTAGCCTAGATCACATAGCCAAAAACTAACAGAGGGACCAGGAACCCTGGTCACACTCCAGAGACTTAAACTATTTTGTTGTTTGGTTTCTCTGTGTAGCCCTGGCAGGCCCAGAACATGCTCTGTGGAACAGGCTAGCCTCCAACTCAGTGATCCACCTGCCTCTGCCTCCAGAGTGCTGGGATTAAAGGTGTGAGCCCCCATCATCTGGTGAACCTAAACTACTAAAACAGAAAGTTAAATATAAGTACCTTAGGCTGGGCTTAGTGGTTAGAGAACTGGCCTAACCTGTATGGAACCCTGTGCTCCATCTCCAGCACCATGTAAACCTGTTTTAGAAGGGCAAGACTGTCATCCTAGTACTCTGGAGATGGGGGGGGGGCAGCAGATCAGGACTTCAAAGTCTTCTTTGGCTACACAGCAAGTGCAAGCCCAGCCTCCGAGATCCTGTCTCAAAAAGAAAAAGGTAAAATAAAACATACCCATACACTTTCGGGCAACTCTGCCCCAAGTGACCGGCAACTGTCACACAAATGTGTTCAGGACTGACTGGCTCAATGCCTCCCCACAGTTTCTGTCACTGGGTGGTCCCCACAGCCTGGGCTGCCACCTGCCACCTTGCTTGACTGAGAAAACAGCCCAAGGAAGATGGGTTTGACATGGAGGTCCGGGTTCTTGCACAGGACCCAGGTCTGATTTGCAGCCCAGGGGATCTGAGGCCCTCTTCTCACCTTGTGGGCACTGTAGGCACATGGCGCGCTGAAGTGCACAGCCTGGTGTGGTGGAACATGCCACCTTTAATCCCAACACTCGGGAGATAGGAACAGGCGGATCTCTGTGAGTTTGAGGCCAGCCTGGTCTACAGAGCAAGTTCCAGGACAGCCTCCAAAGCCACAGAGAATCCCTGTCTCAGAAAAAAAGAAAAACCTTAAACAAATGAAATAAAATGCAGCTGGGTGTGGTGGTGAACACTTTTAATCCCAGCAAGTAAGAGGCTGAAGTAGGCAGAGTTCAAGGCCAGCCTGGTCACCATAGGGAGGAGCTCCAGGATGCCAGGGCTACAAAGCAAGACCCCATTTGAGAATGACAATAGACTGAGCCTGTTGGTGAAGTTTATTTTAAGCAAAATGGGGGTACATGTAAAAAATTCTTTTTGTCCACTGCACCTTGGGAGAGGCCGACTGTGTATCCCCCACCCATCTATCCATACCCTGACTTCTGCAAGACTCACGCTCAGCTTCTCACACAGAAGCTAGGCCTGCACCCACTACACAGATCCTGAATGGCCTCTAAGCCATCCAGACACATCCAGAGAGGGGTGTGGCTTGCAGCCCGGGCTGATGGGTACCCCAGGATGGAGATGAGGGTACCATGGGAATTCAGCTGCTTCATCTGCACAGGCACAAGAAGGCCAGGCAACTCTATCTGGGAACAATGTCCGGTAGAGTCAGGCCACATGGCAGTGTCAGAGGCCCTGAGTATCTTTCTCAGGGTTGTGGGAAACCAACCCCCCAAGTCAAGGGCCCTTAATGACTCTCAGAGTGGCTGGCAGTGGGTTGACAGTCCCCATCATCACCCGGCTCAGACGAATTGTGGCCGCCGGTCTCCACTGTTGTCACCTGTGATCTGACCTCCTCGGAGCCGCATGGCGGGCAGAGGGGCCAGTGCTGTGTTGTTTGACTGGTTGCTGTTGAAGGAACACAGCTGCTGACCCAGGTCTCCGTCCTCACCC